CTGAGCGCTCCTTGGCAGATCCAACTCCCTGCCATATACACCTCTTTTTCATGTGCTGCTACTGGTCATCTAAAATTCTGCCAACCATCCCCGTCACCCTCATTTTCACTGAACACAAGCTGCCGCTGCTGTCGCCGCCACCACCCCCCAGTCCACCTCCTTCTCCCTTGGTTGCAAACTCTGTCTTTGCTGCAAGCTCCTGCATTGTTAATCGCAGTGGAACCAGGGAGTGGATGCCCGCTGGGCTAGATTTTGCAGAAATCAATGAGAATTTTTGCTAAGCAGACGCACTCTGTGGATTGCTGTCTAACAGAAAAAGTCCTATTACTGTAAGCTGTTTGTTAAGTGGAACCAAATTCCATGCTTATGATAATTTCCCTGCTCTTCTGAGTCCTTTCTTTTGTTTGGTGTACCCCTTGGTAAAGTGAAAAGGGTTCCAGCAGATGAACAGAGGGAGTGCGACTGTTAATTCTCCTGGCGTTCTCAGCAGCTTTCAATACTGTTGATCATAATATCCTTCTGGACTGCCTACCTGGACTGGGATGGGGAGGCACCATTCTGCAGTGGTTCCGGTCCTGCCTGGAGTGTAGGTTTCAGAAGGTGGTATTGGTCAACTGCTGCTTAGCCTCTTGGCCTGTGGGGTCCCTCAAGGTTCCATCTTTTCCCCTCTGCTCTTTAACACCTAGACGAAATGGCTGGGTGAGGTCATTGGGAGATGTGGGCTGGGGTTGTCTTCTGCTTTCAACTGATCCCGGGGAGGCTGTGGAAACTCTGGACTGGTGCCGGTTTTGAAGGTGGATGAAGGCTGATGAACTGAAGCTCAATCCTGGCAAGGTGAAAGTGCTACCAGTGGACAGAAGGTCTGACCAAGGATTTAAGGTGTTTTGGATGGGGTTGCACTCCCCTTGAAGAAACGGTTCAGTAGTCTGGGAGTGTTCTTGGACCTGGTCCTGCCACTGGATAAGCTGCTGGCAGCTGTGGCCAGGAGCGCCTTTACCAGTTTCGACTGGTTAGGCAGCTGTGGCTTTTCCTGGCCAGAAAAGAGCTGGCCACTGCGGTGTGCGCCCTGGTTATATCTAGATTAGATTACTGCCCCGCGCTGTAGGTGGGGCTGCCCTTTAGAAGTGTTCTGAAACTTCGATTGGTGCAGAAGGCTTCAGCTAGGATGTTGACTGAAGTGGGTCATAGGAACTGTGTCAGTCCAGTCTTGGCCCATCTAAACTTACTCCCAATTTGTTGTCGAAGGCAATTTATTCCTCCCAATTTATTCTGGGCACAATTCAAGGTGTTGGTATTGACCTTCAAAGCCCTATATGGTTTGGGACCATATACCTGAAGGACTGCCTACGTCCTTATGAACCTGCCCAACCACAACAGTCATACCCGGAGGCCCTGCTTCAGATAACTGCTTCGATCAAGTGGGTAGCAATCTGGGAGAGGCTCTTCTCTGTTGTGGTACCAAAGCTCTGGAGCTCTCTCCCTAGGGAGGTTTGTCTGTCCCCTTCTGTTGTCGTCTTCTGCCAGTGGATGAAGGCTTTTTTGTTTCGCTTGGCATTTCCTTAGTGATTCCCTCCCTCCTAACCTGTGTTTTAATTGTTTTTAAAGTCTTCGTATGTGTTTTACCTGTTTTAATTGGGTTAACGAAGTATGTTTCGCTGTTGGGGAGGGATTGCTCTTAAATAGTTTTGAAATGTGATTTTATTTTGTATGTTTTAATTTGTTAGCCATTTAGTGACTCACGTGGGGGCAGAAAGGCTGGATATAAATTCTGTAAATAAAAATAAAAATGACTAGAGGGTTCAAGGTGTACAGCTGGGATTTTTAATCTGACACCTTTATAATGGTGAATAACCTCTTTGCTTCATATATTTAAGATACACACTGTGTAAAGATGGCTTTTTCTAACCGACTTGTCTTTGGATTTACAAAATACGGGTATCAGCTTGCTGTGGCTCATTTATGCATAACTTATTTGGGAGATAGGCTGGTTGGTTCATCATTGTTGTAACTTCACTCTCTAATTCAGACCTAATTACAATCAGCTAATTTGTAATATCCTTAACAGATGTGGACAACTCCTTTTGCCACAGCAAAGTGCATCAGAACAGTCTGTATATATGCAGATACTTTCTTTGTGAGACCGAGTGAATAAGAACTGGAATTCTAAGATTTAAAAGATTTGTTAGTCACAGTAAAGATCTTCCGGCAGCCCACTCTCGCTTTATGTGTTGTGTCCAGAGTAGGGACTTGGAAGGAGAGGGAGAAAAGAATGCCACACATACTGGACTGGGAGAAAACCAGTCTGCAACATTATCAATTATAGGTTCCTCTGGTCTTGGCACAGAATAAGCCAGAACACTGGGTGCCGCTGAAAGCCCGACTGCTGACAGCGAGCCCCCCCCCCCATCTCCCGACCCACCTTTTAGAAGTAACCATGGAAAGAGAGCCAGCCTTAGGGCAGAAGCAGTGGAAATCCACTACCATCCTCTTGGGGGTATGATCGGCAAGTCAGCCCCAAAGGTGGCTGTCATGCCTCTCACCCCCAACACCCCTTAAGGGGACCTTCCTTTTAGGGCCACGCAGAAGGCCCTCCCCTACGCACCCTGTATGGTCTCTTGTAACCAATGCTGAAATGCCAACAGCCAGTTGCGACAGTTATGCCCATTCAATAGTACGAGCAAACATTCTTTTACTACGGGGAAGGCAAAAAACCCCAAGGCCTATTGGCTAATCAGCAGCACCGAGGGTAAAATTCCTTTCTGGCCCTGTTAACCCGCAGCCCCCTGCAGCCATAGCAAACCAACGGAAGAACTAAAATACAAAAGCATGGGTGGTGGCAATGGGTTTTGTGGGTAGAGTGCTCCAAATACCCAGCCTCCCTCCCTCCCTCTACCTTCTTTCTAAACATGCAGTGCGGACCAAATTGGAGCCTGACTCTCTGGTCTGCTGGCCCCACCACCCCCCATAATGCATACCTGGCTGACATACAGCTGGCCAAATGGGGGTGGGCAACTTGAGAGCCCCCTGTTTGAGCCAGTGCTGAGAACGATTGCCCAGAGTCTTCTATCCCCTCCCCATCTTTCCGCCTGACTATACCCCCCCCCCCCCAATGCATACCTGGCTGACATACAGCTGGCCAAATGGGGGTGGGCAACTTGAGAGCCCCCTGTCTGAGCCAGTGCTGGGAACGATTGCCCAGAGTCTTCTGTCCCCTTCCCATCTTTCCGCCTAATTCCTCCAGCTTAAGGCTGTGAGCCTTGCTGCTCATTCCCGTGGTGAAATTCCCAGCTGTTCAACTGGAATTTCCTTTGTCTTTGCTCCAGCAGTACTTCTTGTTACATCTTGCCAGGGAGTATGCCCTGTCGTGAGATGGGAAATCAAGTAGTGTTGGTTTCCTAATGGTTCTTACTGTGCCCCCCCCCAATGATATTGCACGTGGTGAAATTCCCAGCTGTTCAACTGGAATTTCCTTTGTCTTTGCTCCAGCAGTACTTCTTGTTACATCTTGCCAGGGAGTATGCCCTGTCGTGAGATGGGAAATCAAGTAGTGTTGGTTTCCTAATGGTTCTTACTGTGCCCCCCCCCAATGATATTGCACGTGGTGAAATTCCCAGCTGTTCAACTGGAATTTCCTTTGTCTTTGCTCCAGCAGTACTTCTTGTTACATCTTGCCAGGGAGTATGCCCTGTCGTGAGATGGGAAATCAAGTAGTGTTGGTTTCCTAATGGTTCTTACTGTGCCCCCCCCCAATGATATTGCACGTGGTGAAATTCCCAGCTGTTCAACTGGAATTTCCTTTGTCTTTGCTCCAGCAGTACTTCTTGTTACATCTTGCCAGGGAGTATGCCCTGTCGTGAGATGGGAAATCAAGTAGTGTTGGTTTCCTAATGGTTCTTACTGTGCCCCCCCCCAATGATATTGCACGTGGTGAAATTCCCAGCTGTTCAACTGGAATTTCCTTTGTCTTTGCTCCAGCAGTACTTCTTGTTACATCTTGCCAGGGAGTATGCCCTGTCGTGAGATGGGAAATCAAGTAGTGTTGGTTTCCTAATGGTTCTTACTGTGCCCCCCCCCAATGATATTGCACGTGGTGAAATTCCCAGCTGTTCAACTGGAATTTCCTTTGTCTTTGCTCCAGCAGTACTTCTTGTTACATCTTGCCAGGGAGTATGCCCTGTCGTGAGATGGGAAATCAAGTAGTGTTGGTTTCCTAATGGTTCTTACTGTGCCCCCCCCCAATGATATTGCACGTGGTGAAATTCCCAGCTGTTCAACTGGAATTTCCTTTGTCTTTGCTCCAGCAGTACTTCTTGTTACATCTTGCCAGGGAGTAT